GACTGTGTGCCACCTCCGCTGATACTTGGCAAGCAGTTTCATGCCATTCATATTGTGGGAAAATTAACAACCCTTTTTTCAGGCTATAGAACTGACTTCCTGATATTGTCTCCCTCCTCAGTACAGTATGCTATTCAGACACTTATTTCACTATCCATATACAACACTTGAAAAGTACATTTCCTGCCCGTTCTGTGCCACAAACATTTTTTTTTTTTAATGTATCAACTGAAAAGCCGTTTATGCAACCATCCCTCACTCCCTCCCACTTAATTCTGAACGATCAGGATCCTCATATTGTGTTTACATTTTTTTAAAGGGGGAGCTATGACGTCACACGGTAATCAATGTTCTAGAAAAATAAACTTTTGCCCAATTACAGCCTTATTTTTTGTGTACTGCATTTTTTTATCAACTTAATTTTTATCATATTTAGTAAATATTATGAATCTGATAACTACATGAACAGTAAAAGGTTCTCTTTTGTTTTCTTCTGCGGACGCTGTTCTTTCTAGCACAGAGCCAATAGGATTATAACCAAAGTTTATCATATCATAAATAACTTTAATGCCAGCATTACGGCCTGGTATCATAAAATATATAACCAGTGTATCATGACATTCTCTTTTTATTATTTTGACTAGTATGCATCATGTTAGTGATGAGAAAAAATCAGATACTTTACGTATTCCTCTCCATCCCAAAAATAAACAAACAGACCAGAAAGATTAAAAAAAAGAAAAAAAAAAAAAAAAAAAAAAAAAAAAAAAAAAAAAAAAATATATATATATATATATATATATATATTATATAATATATATATATATATATATATATATACAAAAACAAACGAAAAAATACTCCCTTTCCCCACTCCCATAACAGGCTAGACTTCCCGCCAACTCTTTAACCTCGCTGCCATCACGAAAACCCGTTCCAGGCGGTTTGCTCTCTCGACGTATCATCGAACGCAAAGGCAATGGGGGAACTATGACGTCACTGGGATGTCTGGGCTCTGGGAAAATTTTGTCTGTTGGTGTTCGTGCGTGGCAGGTGCTTCTCTGGGCTCGGATCGTCCTTGCAGAGTTTTTAGCTTACCTTTATCTTTGTGTGTATGTAGTATATATATATATATATATATATATATATATATATATATATTAATATATATTATATATATATATATATATATGTATATATATATATATATATATATATATATATATGTATATATATGTATATATATTATATATATATATATATATATATATATATATATATATATATATTATATAATATATTATATATGTATATATATTATATATATATATTATATATATATATATATATATTATATATATATATATATATATATATATATATATATATATATATATATATATATATATATATATATATATATATATATATTATATATATTATATATATATATATATATATATATATATATATATATATATATATATATATATACATATATATATATATATATTATATATATATATATATATAATATATTATATATATTTATATATATATATATATATATATATATATATATATATATATATATATATATATATATATATATATATATATATATATATATATATATGTATATATGTATATGTATATATATATATATATAATATATATGTATGTATGTATATATATATATATTATATATATATATATATATATATGTATACATATATATATGTGTGTATATATATATATATATATGTATGTATGTACATATGCATGTATATATGCATGTATGTATGTATATGTATATATGTACATACATATATATGTATATGTGTGTGTATATGTATATATACATACGAATAGATAGATAGACAATTAGATAGATAGATAATTAAGTAAGTAACAAATAAATTCAGTTGTACATTTAACACGCATTATCTAATTCCGCACATTTTCAATAATTCTAATGAAATAAACCATGAATAGTCTGCGCTGTGTTTATAAATACAAATACTATCTGAATCGCATTTGGTTTAGTGATCCCTTGAGAAAAGCGTCCCTCCGTCACCATCGTCTATTTGTAAACACAGATCCCGCTTCAAATTTTTACCGAAAGGATCCACAAGAATCGCTGAAGTCTCGTACAAATCTGAATTTAGTCCAGGAAAATGAAGATACCGAACAAGGGCCAGCTGGAGCAAATAATGGAGGAACACACTGGAAGGAGAACACGTATTTCAAAAGATGCAGCTTCGTATATGTATCTGCGGTACCTGATTTACATGAAGGAGTTGGCGAAGAAGGCCGATGCCATTGCGTTCAGGTGAGCTCTCTGCTCGAAAGGAATGTCTTAATAATATGAGTGGTTATTTTGAATAAAACGTTTGTATGGTGGTATGGATGCATACTAGTTATTTAATGGGGAGATACGGTAGTTTTATTATATAGCATTTAGTTGTATTACATAGAAATTGGTTGTAGTGATGATATGCGATCACTATGACCCGCTCGCCAGTTGGCACTCCAGCAATTGGCCTAAAAGGATTAATAACTCTACTACATATACTCTAGCTGGATTGAGCTTATAGAATTCCCTGGTAATTTATTATCAAATTAGGAACCATTCCAAACTATTTCCTGTCAGGATATGTTGCAGAAGTTTGCCTGCCTTTGCCAGTGCACTGTAGGCAGAGAATCATGAGCCGTCTTTTCTGATGGCTACGTCTTAGGTGACACCTCACGCAACAGGAATTGAGTAGGTGGTAAACATTTATGAAGTTCTTAGGTGCATTCTACTTGCCTCACTTATTTTCATGCATAGATATTGTGTATTTATAACAGAATAACCCACCATAAGCGGCCAGTTTGTTAAAATTGTTTGAGGCCCGACTCAGTGAATATTCATAAATACAGACATGCATATACAAAGAAATAAATGCATATCTGTCTACATATCTGATAGATATACATTTATTTATGTATTTGCCCGGTTGATATGCATATCTACACTGATAAATATGCATTTATTTCTTTATTTATTCATGTCAAGTATACGAACATACCTTGGGTCGGGTCTTGCACAAATTTAACAAACCGGCCAAAGATATCAAAAGCCATCTAGGATATTATATTCCAGTCAAAAATAAGAAATACAAATTAAATAATCATGATAATAATACAGGACAACACTAAGCCATCAACCGCTTTAAATCATAGGAGTGGGCAGAACTTTGTGGTACATCTTGCGTCCAGTCACGGGACAGGTTTTGGGTGTCACATGGTGCCCTAAATCCCAAGAAAAGATAGCAATTGTCATGGTGGCCATTAGTTGATCCTAGCCCAGCTCTCATAGTAAATATATATATCCGTTCTATTATAGAAGTTGTATGGGCCAGAGCCAATCATAAATGACCTATCTGTCTTTAATTTATAGCCACATTTGGTAGCCTAACATTGGATCTATTAGCCTTACATGTAAAAGAGAAGAATGAAGGAGAATGTTTAATTAAGGACTATATTAAGTTTTATTTTTGTCTATTTACTTTTTTTCAAACTCTGGAGAAAAAAATTAAAAATACCATTGTGAATAGACATGGAGCACACGAGAGGCAATTTTGGTGGAGTGCAAATGCAGCAATGCCGTTTTCTGAGGTAGCCTGGCAGGATATCACAGCACTGATCATCTGTAGCCTGCACATTTATTTCTATTAGCCCCAGGCCTGTAAGCTATCGATTTGTGCACCCCTTATTTTTTCTGTGTAATGATTCTTATTTTAGTATGAGAATAAATCTTCCATGGTAATTATATATATCCATACCTATTAGGGTAAACCTAAAAGGTGTTTGTTATTGTTACTAACACACTTGATACTAGTTGATTGTTAGTAATGTGTATATATATTGAATGCTTATAGTATGGTAGTATTAGACCACAATGAACCAGTTTGGAAAATAGAACACATTTTGACAAGGTCTTAGACACTTCACCTATGACATATGCAGTACAGGTTGAAAATGATGTATGTGGTGTAAAGATACAGCACATCAGCTCCTTAAATCTTATTCTAACAAGCAATCAACAGATGTGTTTCTCTTTTACTGTATTTGCATTAGTTAAGGAAATATTCTTTATCAGAAAATTAAATTCCTTGCTTGTTTCAACTGTAGACAGTAACCAATTAAAGTACCCCTAGATCCAAAGGCCAATTGAAAAAAAAAGATTGATTCATGTTGTTCAGAGCTTTGTGAAGTTCATGTTAGTTCAGAGCTGGTTGTTATATCATGATAACTTTTGATCATGTATTACATAAATGCTAAAGATGCACCTTAGAGGTTTATGATCAAATAAGGACCTAGTCTAAGTTCAGTTAATCTTTACAGTATGGAGACACTAAGGTAGTGCAAATTGAAGATGATATCCTTAGACAGGACAAAAAGTTGCAGTCATTAGTACAAAAATATTCTGTAGACTTGAATGATAATGCAAAATAATGGGGGGGGGGGGGGATGGAAGTGTGTCCACAGTCTAAATCCATTCAGTGCTCTTGAGTTTCATCTGTATCTTACTGTGCATGCTGGGGTGAAGACAGTGGGCACGCCTAGTCACAGCAACTTAGATTGTTGAATAGATTTTGTGACTTGGAGTTAAGGACTTAAGCTCTGGTGAGTGTATCCATATTGTAAAGAATTACACCAAGTTTTCTCATACTAGAATGTATATGGTAGATGGTTCTCAGCTTTTTGCCATAACCCTATTTGGTATGAAGCCAACCATAATCACTATGCACACAGTACACATACACATGTTTATAGTGTAACAAAGCCACTTTTACTTTTTTTTTTCATTCTTACTTTCTGTCTCCACCCAAAAACCCAAGTGGCATACATTTTCATAATGACACCACTAAAATTGGGAAAATCTAATGACACTATCATAATGAAAGGAAAAACTACACACTGATAAATGAAATAATCTGTATAGGGTAGGGGGGGGGGATACAGCAGTTGGTTGGGGGTCTAAGAGCAAAGCAAGCCCCTGGTTTCGTAAGGTTTTTGGTTCATGCAGCAATGTTTATGGATTCCAAGGGGCTAGAGTAAGAGGGACCATAAAAATTTACCATCCACATTTCCCACAAGTCCCCCTTCCCTTTGAGATGTGGTAAGGGCATCAGGGGGTGCTTATTTGGAAACTAATAGTTTACATCAAAAATAGATATCAGGCTCATTCTAAATATATCAAAATACTTGACATTTGGCAAGATATACTTGTCCCTTGCAAGATGACCACTCCTAAAGGCATGGTTCACTTGGTCTTGTGTATGTCTAAGACCTAACTTTTGTCCGAGTACATAGCCAGAGACTAGTACTTGCACTGCTGTAATAGACCGCACATGCCTCTTGCTTAAATAACACAGCGCATAGTACTCCTCGTTTGAGTAATATGAGCACAAGGACTTATTTCCAGTTTCACCATAGTTTCATGTTTCATGGTGTATATTTTTTGAAGAAAGAAGCACGGAAACCGATATATCAGATTCAAAATTATTAACACTAGTCTGACAGGCTGTCAGCACAAGTGTAGATCCTCAGTTTCAAATTAGCCATTTCTTGTTTATTTGTTTTTTTTGGTAATGAAAGATGAATTTTGTAATTACTAACTAAATGTTTTATATAAAATCTATAATATACCTTTGTTAACTTTATAGGTATTGATAATTTCTTTAAGTGAATTACAGACAGTAATTCTAAATTGCACCCTGAAAAACCTGGAGATACCCGAGGAAAAGAACGGTCTAAGTCATGTTATTGCTGGCTCCCCTCAGCCCCCAGATTTCACACCAAAGTTACCTGATTCTGCCCAGATAGCTACGCTTACGGCCAGAAGACCGTTTGAACCACGCCTTAACTTATGAGATATATGCCACTTGGAGTCATATAAATGGTCATTAGCAAACCATCAATTCCAAATCTGTTGATATTAGGAATGCAGGCTTTTGAATAACTACCAAAATCAGATCTATATTTAATGAAGTGAAGGGAAGATCCTGCTTAGTTCATCAGCATGTTTATTGATTAGGGGTTTAAATTTGATATTTGTTAAGTCTACCCCTAACCAAAGCTTGAACTGTGTGGCATGTGCATAATGATTTGCCTGTGCACACTGCTGTTTGGTTAGGTATCTTGGCCCTGCAGAAGTTCCTGGTGATTGTAATGACCTAGGAAACCTTTTAGGGTAAATCTAAAAGGTGTTTGTCATTGTTACTAACACTTGATACTAGTGGATTGTTAGTAATGTGTATATATGTTGAATGCTTATAGTATGGTAGTGTTAGACCACAATGAACCAGTTTCGAAAATAGAGCACATTTTGACAAGGTCTTAGACAGGGGTACTAAAGGCAATAAATTCCCTCTTCTTCTTCTTCTTCATTAAGGCAAAGATGTGCTTGACATATTAGTGATTACAAGCATATCTTTGCCTTGGAAGAGAAATGTGCATAGATGTGCCTGTTGAGTTTGCCATGGAAGCCAGCATCACGAGTCATTTGTAACTCTTATATATATATATATATATATATATATATATATATATATATATATATATATATATATATATATATAATATTTTTTTTTTTTTTTTTTTCTTTCTTTTTTTTTTCTTTTTTCTTTCTTTCTTTCTTTCTTTCTTTCTTTCTTTCTTTCTTTCTTTCTTTCTTTCTTTCTTTCTTTCTTTTCTTTCTTTCTTTCTTTTCTTTCTTTTCTTTTTTTTTTCTTTTCTTTTTTTTCCCATACAATTTTCCTGGTAAACTTCATTGCCACCCCACCTAGCAAGGATAATAATATCACTGTAGTTGGTAAGCACTTACTAAAGCCACTGTGGACAGACATCACAATAGTTGGTAATCTGAAACTAAAACAACTTTGAATAGATAGCACACAGGAAAAGTAATCTGTTGATACCCATATTCCAAGTACCTTTTATTAACACTTACCCTTGCTAGATTATAATACAGAAAAATTATTTGCAGACCACACTACTTGAAAGAAATATATACTAAAAGAGTATCAAATACTTGCTCATTTGTAGGATGTATATTTTATGATAGATAGATGGTGTTTATATTAAGTAGTCTGATTCAGATTATGCAAGGTACTTGAAATAACCAGTCATCTTAGATCCAGTTTACTTTATGATAGACCTATGTGTCCTTAGGTACTACTTTTATAGCCTGTTTATTGAACATACATTTTATATAATTTTCTAATGAGATGATTTTTTTACTTGTTGCATATGCTGTGGCTTTCTAAGTCTTTTAGGAACCATTTCACAGCAGGATGCCATTTAATCATGTTATGGGAGACAATCCCTTATGCCAGGTCGATGTTGTTACATCATGTGCAGTCAAGCCAAGACCAAGTTATACACACTAAGCTTTTTTACCACTACCTACATTTGTTGACAAGAAAGTTAGTAATATTAACATCCACACACTGTTTAGAAGATTAAGAAATTCTGACATTCCTTTTTATTATGGTTTTATATTGTTTATCCTAAGAAAAATAAAGAAAAATAAAAATAAATCCAAATGATGCATAAATTTCTAGCTTCATTTTGAAGCCAGATGGTCCCCATGCATTAAGATGATATAATGAGAATACTGTTTTAATTTTTCCATTGTGGGTGACTTCATCATGGAGAATAGAATTTAATTATTAGGAATAGATTTATGCAATTTTTTTCTTTAATTTTGTAATGGCATTATGCATTCTTATCAATTCATATGGGAATGCTATGTGTTTTGTCAAGATATCCATTCCCTATGCTGTTTTATGCCATATACAGCAACATTTTCTCACTTTCTTTCTCCTCAGTCAAAGGAAGTCATTGATTGGAGGTGATAATATTGCTCGTGCAGCTCCGAGGCTCCTCACAGAATTCAGTGATGCTCAGAACATCCGACTGAGAGCTAAGAGGAGGAGCAGTGAAGGTGCAAATGAAGAAGCCAAAAGCAAAGAGAGGTCCAGCAGAGGAGAGAGCGAAGAAAGTTCCGAGGAAGAAGAAAAGGAGGCCAGGGGAAGCAGCAAAGAAAATCAGCGGAGGAAAGTGATGAAGAAGGGGAAAAAGCGGATTAAGGTTACTTTTGGCTGAGTGGATAATTGCACTTGATGATTTCATTGTTAAATTTCTTTGCAACACATCAGCTATTGTGCTGATGTACTCAGAAACTTTTGGCTTTGTAACAGTTATGTAATATTGGATTTCTATGTGTACTATATTCCTATATTTCAACAACCGTATTTTTGTATCTTTCTGAATATTCTTTTCTTTTTTTTCTTTATTTCTTTCTTTTATGATTTTGTACTTGATTCATTGTAATACTGTACTGTAAATCAGGTACTGGATTTATTTGTAGTGTTAAGCAAAACCCATCTTGTACTAATTGATAACAAACCAAAAGTTAACATAGTGGCTAATACTTTCTGGTTTGCTTTGTAATAGAATATAATACTTAGATTATACTGTCATTTCATATCTTTACCATAGTTAAGGATGATTGTGCATAAGAATGTTGTAGTACAAAAACATCATGATTTTACTTTTGTATTGTTATAAATGCTGGGTAAGAATGACTATCCAATGATATTAACTTTTAGGATAAACTGATTATAATGTGTAAGGTCCCTTTTTGTAACTGTATCATATGCTTGTACCATTCTGCAATCCACAAAGCCATTCACAGAACCTGGTGAAATTTATTAAACAATTTTCAGGCAACAAGGGTTTTTCTCCCTTTTTTAGAGAGATATTTATTACAGAGAGCTAATAATATCCTTTTAAAAATGAATGTCTAAATATATGTCCTATTTACATGTTGAAGAAAATTTTTGTACATGAATTTTTATATCTCCAATAAACTTGTGTAAGAAATGGAATCTGTTATTGTAAATAAAAAATTCCCTTTTTGTGTACACATTGTTTATATATTTCATCCCATTCTTCCACTTAATTCAATATCATTATTGTATTATCATTAACTGCCTACATTTATTTGTTGAAGAGTTTTTTTTCATGTGAAAGGACATTTTGGGTTGAAACAAATGCATTTCTTTTTATTTTTTATTATTTTTTAGAAAATCTACTATAAATAGTGAGTGAATATTCAATTAGACAAACAAATACTACAAAAAAGTTAAAACTCTAAACAAATGAACAAAAAAAAAGAAACATAGTATGGTCAACTTCTAACATTTGTTTATACTAATTAAACGTCAGTTAATGTTGTATTTACATGAATGTTATAAACATTAATAATTGGCCTTTTCATAGATTTTGATTCTATAAACACAGATAACTTCAGTTTATTACCCTGTATTATCTTTCTCTTCCTAATACCAACACCTGTATACCATCAGCATCATTTCAACAGGCTAATAATCCTGGTACCTGCTAACAGAAGATGTATAAGAGAGAATAAATAATAACACAATGCAAGATATGCAATTAACTTTTCCGTGGCACGTTCTCATAAAGATGCAGTATCGGAAATTGAATAACTATCTTGCAAAGTGGAAATACATCAGTCTCATTCATACTTTTTCTACATTTTTCACAACTCGGAACGTCTTACCCATTATGGTGCTATTATCATAAAACTATCGAGGGTGGTCTAAAGCCTCTTTTACTTTCACAGTTAAATCATCTATGTATTCCTCTTGGCTCTCCATTCTTGCAGGTGATCTGGAGGTTGGAAAAATAATTAAAAAGACGTATTCAGTATTCTGATAAATCAGAGAAATGGAAAAAGAGAAAGTGATTGAAAAACAAAACAGGTCATATGCAGTACATTAAGAACAAATTTGATTGTGATATTTGAGGTCTTTTGAGATATGTATTATTTATGTATATGTATAGTATATGTATATGTGTGGTGTGTGCGTGTGCTATATGTATATATGTATATATGTATAGTATATATATATAATATATATAT